CTGGTGAGTTCGTATACGGGCGCGCTGCGACACCGTTCTCGGGCGCGTCAGCGCCAAAGTTGCGCTCCGGGGTGAATCCGCGCTGAGAGCGCGGGGCCCAGCCCGCGAGAAGCTGGCTGAACCGGAGGTTGACGGTGGCGTTATAATCTTGATGTCCGCGTTGCGGAGACCAAGGGCGCGCGCTGCGCTGGGGGTGGGTGGGTGCGTGGGCGGGTGCAATCAGCGGTCGACGAGTCGCCAACTTCCGCGCCAGTCGGTAGCCAGACCTGCAACGTGTCGTTGGAGCTGTTGAAGAGGACGTGCCCGCTCAGGATCCACGCCGTCGCGTCCGATAGTGCGCTCGCCCTATTAGGGGAAGCTTTCCAAGCCGAGTAGGGGCTGGAGTCTAGTCCCGGCTCAGAGTAGTGCATCTGCAGGGCGACCTGGCGGAGAGACCAGGCGAGTGGGGGGGGCGGACCTCGGCGAAGTCCAGGGTGGGGGCGTGCTGCTCAATGTAGGACTGCGCAAGGTTCAAGTCGATCAGCTTGGCGGTGAAGATCGGGGCCCTGTGCTCGACCAGGCGCACTGTCATCAAGGTGGCGCGGCTGGCGGCGTTGTTTGGCCTTGGCGGGCGCTTGGCAGCACGTGGCGCGAGACGACGGTTGAGAGGGGGCCAAATTGCAGAGCGGCGCTCCAGCGCCGCCAGGAGGTGCCGAAAAGGCCCGTGGAACGCGGGGGCACGCTGGAAGGGAGCGGCGACGGGGCCGAAACCGTTGGTCATGGATTCCAAGAGAACGTGATCAGATCTTTGGTTTCAGGTGATCTTCTTAGCCATCTTCACGACGTTCCTCCATGCAGCTATTGCCATCTGCCTCGCCAGTATAAGTAGAGTCGATGTCGCTTCGCGTGCGCGTGCATCTAGACGGTTATGAATGTCCGCAGCGACCTCCCTGATGGTCCACGTGTGAAGTTCGATCTGCCGCGCGGTGCTCTCCTCCTCGTAGTTGAGCTGCGCGCAGACGGTCTGCAGCTGCTCCTGGAAGAGGTCGGACTCAAACAGATGGCGAGGCCTGCGATGAGCACCGCGCAGCCTGGCGACACGCTGGGCGAGCTTGACCATGCGGGCCGCGTGGTCGCTGACAAAGCGGGCGGCGAGATCCTCGGGGCAGCCCTTCACCGACGGCTCAGTGGTCAATTGCGCGAGAACCCCCCCAGGCCAGCTGGCCCGCAATCTGTCCTGGATCGATATCCAGCGCGGGCCCCCGTCATAGTGAGTGGGCTCGCCCGACGAGATGTCGGCGGGGAAGCGGAGTGCGCGTGCCCAGCGAGAGGCGCGAGCGAGTTGACCTTTGCCTTCGGCTCTAGGGCGGCGAGGCCGATGCAGAAGAGGCGGGGGCCATCGGCGCGAAGTTCATGTCGCAATGTGCGACCGCCAGGTTGTGGAGAGGGCCAATCTGCGCCGCCTTCGCATCAGCTGCCGAAGCTTTCGTAATCGAATTGGGCTGCGCGATGGTGAGGTCGAGGTTGCGCGCGTTGAAGTGAAACGCGCGGATGCCCTCGAGGTGCAGCACAACGCGCAGCACTCGCCCAGGCAAGAGAGAGAGCGATGCGAAACTTCTGCTTCGCAGCCCGCAGGGGGGATAGTAGCCGCGCTACCTTTACCCGCAGAGCCCGCGCATTTTCTGGTGTAGATGCGGGCCGCCTTGGTGAGCAAGTCTGCCAGCTGCGCCTCGAACCTGGCGCGCCGCCTGGAGGGCCGCCGCGCCGCGGGCGAAGTCCAGGCGCGCGAGGCAGGCGAGCTTCGGCTTCGCGCGGGCCCCGCGGCGCTGCGGCAGCGCCCGAGCGTTGCGCGGCGAGAAAGATAGCGGCGGCGTCCCAGCCGAGCGGCCGTGAAGGACAGTTGCGAACCCTTCGAAGACTCCACTCGGCAGCCTCGGGCGGCGCGATGATCGACTTGTCGGCTTCAACAAGGCGCTTCTTGGGTGGGGCTGGGCTTCTGGGCAATGTTGTCGGCCAGCGCGACCTGAGAGGCGACGTCGCCGGGGCTCGGCACGACGCGCAGCGCGGGGCCCAGGCTGGCCATGCTGTAACAGCGGTCGCGGTCGAAGAACCAAATTTTGGAGCTGCCGACGTTGTGGGATGCCTCGCGGAGCTTGCGGCCTTGGATCTCAAGCTTGATTTGCCTCGGGTTGTTGTCAGCTCCGATGGAGTGCGCCCTGAAGGTTATCCGTCGCCGCAACCTCGAAGCGTTTCCACGGGCCAGCAGCAATTCTCTGGGCGCCGGGGACCTGCGCGACGCGCCTGGCAACGGGGCCGACGGCGCCTGTGAACTGGATCGCGAAATTGCGAGAGACGTCCTCGGCGGCTGCTGTGGTGAAGAACTTGGCCACGATGCCGAGCTCGACAGTCCAATCGGGAATGACCTGCTGAACGGACTCGAGCTTGACCAGTTCGGAAGCCATGGCCCTGATGAGGGTCGCGCCGACGTCGCAGTCGAAGCCAGCAGCGCTGGCAGTAGCGGGCGTCGGCTTAGCGTTAGCAAATGCCAGGGCGCCCAGGACTGCTTGTGTCAGCTCTCTAAGCGTGCGAAGAACTGCATCGTGCTCGTCGAGGCGGCTCTCAACTGCGCGGAGCTTGATCTTGTGGCCGTCGAGCTGCTCCTAGAACCTTCGCTGGATGACGTCGAGCTTCGCCGAGCAAAATGTATCGGAGGCGTCTCTGGCCATGTATGGGGAGCTGTTGCACGCCCTCTGCCATATTCCCAACAACATGGCCAGCAAACTGAAAGGCGAAAACTTTGACCTGGTCGGAAACCGTCGAGGAGACGACGCTAGTGAGGTCCTTGATGAGCTCGTCGCGGTGCTCGGCCATCTTCTGGGAGAGAACCTCGGTTCGGAGCTGGCGTAGGTCGTCCTGGCAGAACTCTCCGTCGCTGTCGACCTCGAACATATCTGCGTCCACAACTTCAGGGTAACCTTCAGCGGCATCATAAGGTGGTAATCGCCAGCAACAGAAGGATCAGCACCGCCACTTCGTACATCATCCAGATCACCCCTCGCAGCGGCAGCGCCTGAGTTGAGCTTGGGTTTCTTGCTCTTGATCTTCGTGACACGCGGCCGCTTCGGGGCTGTGGCTGCATCCGTGGGCATGCGGGACGCAGGCCGTCAGTGAGCAAAGGCTCTTGGCCCCAGCAGCGCGCAGCTCGACTGGGGTTGCTTGAAACGGATCCTGGCCTTGGACTCGAAATATCCACACTCTGTCCGAAAGACAAGGCCATCTTGACCCAACCGGTCTACGGATGGTGTTCGTCAGGAGGAGGACGAGGAGGAGGAGCAGGAGGAGGAGGAGGAGGAGGAGGAGGAAAAGGAGGAGGAGGAGGAGGAAGAGGAGGAGGAGGAGGAGGAGAGGAGATGAGGAAAATGGAGGAGGATAGTGGAGGAGGGAGGAGCAGGAAAGGAGGAGGAGGAGGAGGAGGAGGAGGAGGAAGAGGAGGAGGAGGAGGAGGAGGAGGAGGAGGAGGAGGAGGGGAGGGGGGGAGGAAGAGGAGGAGGAGGAGGAGGAGGAGGAAGAGGAGGAGGAGGAGGAGGGAGGAGAGGAGGAGGAGAGGAGGAGGGAGGAGGAGAGAGGAGGAGGAGGAGGAGGAGGAGGAGGAGAGAGAGGAGAGGGAGGAGAGGAGGAGGAGGAGGTAGGAGGACGGACAGGAGGAGGGGGAGGAGGAGGAGGAGCAGGAGGAGGAGGAGGAGCAGGAGGAGCAGGAGGAGGAGGAGGAGCAGGAGGAGGAGGATGATGATGATGAGGAGGAGGAGGAAATGGAGGAGGATAATGAGGAGGTCGAGGAGGAGCAGGAAGAGGAGGAGGAGGAGGAGGAGGAGGAGGAGGAGGAGGAGGAGGAGGAGAGGGGAAGGAGGGAGGGAGGAGGAGGAGGAAGAGGAGGAAGAGGAGGAGGCGGAGGAGTAGGAGTAGGAGTAGGAGTCAAGCTAGCCAGCTCGAGCGAGTCAAGCATGGCATGCCCAGTCCCACCCGCCCTCCCACAACATAAAAAGCAAAGCTGGCACAACTGGGGGCCGAAGTCACACCGGCCAGCCGGTTTGGTACAGCTGATGCGGCCGCGATGGCGGTTGCCGACGGGAACTGGCGAGCGCGTGTTGAATGCCGCGCACGCATTGCCAGACGAGTCGAGAATGGCCCGGTACACCGCAGGAAGCCAGAGGTGGCCGGAGGAAGCCCGACGGTCTGACAGGACACCCCAAAGCATTTTTGTGAAAAAGCATTGGGTTTTTGATGTTTTTATGTTGAAATGCTTGCAAACACACGGTGTTCGGTAGGATTCTGACATGAACGCGCGAGTGTGCTCTTTGTGGTATTTTTTGCACAGGATTCGCGGCCTGGGTGCATGACAGAGCATCGCGAGTGCACCGCGCGATGACGTGAAATCGCTGGATTTGACAGAATTCTTAAGATTCCTATGGTTTTCCTATGATTTCAGCAAGAGAGCCCGGGCGGGAAATTTGTACAATTTTTGTGAAAAAGCATTGGGTTTTTGATGTTTTTATGTTGAAATGCTTGCAAACACACGGTGTTCGGTAGGATTCTGACATGAACGCGCGCGTGTGCTCTTTGTGGTATTTTTTGCAATGGATTATCGCCGTGGACGACAGGACGTCCATGTCGAGAGGAAAAAATAAGAAAAATGTTGATTTTGTATTGTTTTTTACAGGTTAGGATGGGACCACCCGGATGCGCCCTAATGGCCGGCCTGAGGGGGGAGTAGGAGTATAATAATAAGGAAGTAGGAGTAGGAGTAGGAGTAGGAGTAAGGAGGAGGAGGAGGAGAGGAGAGGAGGAGGAGGAGGAGGAGGGAGGAGGAGGAGGAGGAGGAGGGGAGAGGGAGGAGGAGGAGGAGGAGGGAGGAGGAGGAGGAGGAGGAGGAGGAGGAGGAGGACGTCAAGGTGCCCAACAAGCTCGTGCGTCTGGACCTCCCCGCGGAGTTTCGGGACACCCCCGCGCAGTCGGCATCCGTCCTGAAGAGGTCGTAGTCGCGCCCGGGCCACTCGTCGGCCATCCGGCCGACGAGCCGCTGCACCTTAGCGCCCACAGGGCGAGGAGGGGGAGGAGGAGTGGAGGAGGGCTTGAGCAAACCGAACCATCCTCGCGGACCACCACGAGTTTATGTTTGTGCCGCCTTTGCTCATCGAGGGGCGAAGGAGGCCTCCTCCCCGACCCCGACCTCTTCTTCCTGCTCCTCCCAAGGCGCCATGTGCCTGAACGGCTGAAGTGGAACGCGCGGGGGTGCCAGCTCAGGGGGGTGAGCCCATCAACCTAGAATCGGCGATTCTTCGCCAGTAGATCGGCGGTAGGAGCCCGATAGCGAAACCACGCGGTTCTGGGCGGGATCGGGCGGCCCCCATAGGCGATGAGTGGGCGATTGGGGGTCGATGCGCTGCTCCTTCCCCCCTGAACCTTTCCCCCGTCAGCGTTGCCTCTGGCATGTGGTAAGGGTGGGGAACACGGGGAAGGAGAGGCAAGGGGTCGCCCCAGCGCGGGGCACACTGCTCGTGGGCGGGGCGGAAGGCCGGGGGGAAGGGTTGGGAAGGAGGAGGAGTGCATGATGATGTGGTGGGGGAGGAGGTTGAGGCAAAGGACTACTAACTCCTCTCGGGGCGAATCTTCTGAGCCGATCTGAAGCCACCCTAGGAGCGACCTACGGCCGAGATTTTGGTGGGCCTCCAACCCACCCATCGGTTCCCTGGGCTTCGGAACCTAAGCTCACCGACCACAACTCTCCGCAGCACGAGGGGAAAAGGGAAGAAGCCAGCGAGACAAGAGCCAGCGCGCAGGCAGCGCAGCGGAGGAGCCCCAGCGAAAGCGAGAGGGAAGGCGAGAGGAGGGAGCCAGCAAGAGCGCGCGGCACAGCAGCAGCAGGGAGGTGTGGCCACTCCTACTGTCACTTGTCACGAGGGCGTTTGACCGACGAAAGGTTTTAAATCGAATTGCTCAGCGCGTCCCCCCACCCGAGATTCCGAACATGTCCTTGGACTTCATCAGGATCAGTGAGGGGGCGCTTTCTAATCTCGCTGCGTCCAGGCCGATTCGGGGGGAGGTGGAGGCTCGTCGAAGGCGGAGGTGGGGGAGGCTGCGCAGGCCTGGGATCTGCGGCAGAGGCGGACACCCTGCTCAGACCCTGTTCAGCGTGTGCTCCACGGCCATCGCAGTCGTGATCCGCAGCAACTGGCGCTCTAGCTGCTGGGTGTACGCGCTTGGGCGGCTGGTCAGAAGGCTGGTCGGCATCCAGTACTCTGTCTGCGTCACGACCGTCCACTGCGGCAGCAGCTCGCGCTCTCGATTCCCCTTATCAGGAGTGGTCACATGCGATGGTGCGTCCCTCGGTGCAGTGTCATCGTGGCGACCCAAAGCTTCCTTGCCTCCGTCAAAACTGGTCTTCGAATTTCCTTCCGGCCCGATGTCGGGCTCTTTCCAACCTGTCAAAACTAGTTTTCGAATTTCTTTCCGGCCCGAATCCAACATACATCGTCCAGGTACGTGTTGAGGATCCTCTCGGGGTGGCTCATCGGCGCAACTCCCTGTTTCAGCACCCCGCCGAGCTGCTCCAAGCAAGCGAAGAACGGTCCAAGCTCGGGGACCTTCACGATCGTCAACTTCGCGTCCGACTCTTTGAACGTCGTCTGCGCCTTCACGAGCGAAAACTTGTCCACCGCCACGCGCGACGGCATGTCTCCGATTGCCTTCTTCACCGCAGCCAGGTCCTCCATGTATGCGGCCGACCTCGACCCCTGCCTCGTCGCAGCCCTCGAAGATGCCGACCAGCGACGCGCACGAGATCGTGTTGAGCTTCGTCTCGATATCGTCCCCCTTCTTCCTGAACCTCATCTCCTGCGCCTGCTCGATCCACGCCTTGGCCCTGGCCCTCGCGCGTGCCACTGGCAAGCTGTTGGCCCCGATGATCATCGTCACGAGCTGTTGGCCCCGCTGGTGGTGATGGTGGTGGTGCTGGAAAGTAAAATGCTGAGCGGGTAGATCTACCCGCTCAGTGGTTGAGCTTTCAATGCTTTCGCTGCTGGAAAATAAAATTCTTTGATCCCCCCTCTGGGGCATATGTGTTTTTGTTCAATTGACGTGCCTTCCCGCGGCTCGCACCCGATTTGTTATCATGGAAAACCTTCGGTCTCAGAATTGGACACCTGGCCCCGAATTACAACAACAACAACAACAACGGCTCCCGCTTGGTATTTCCTTACAAATTATTCCCACATTGCGCTCTCGCGCGGGACGTCCTCACAGTGTATGCAGAAATCGCGCTCTCGCGTGGGAGGTCCTGGTCATGTATTCAAACGCCGCGCCCTCGACACTCAGGATCGCTGTGGCCAATCTCGCGCTTTACTTGGGAATCGCGCTGTCGCTCGAGCCTTCCTTGCGGTTCATGTCGCGATTCGTGCACGACGCACGCTTCAGCAATCCGCCTGCTCGGCCTGGCCGCCTGGCCCCGCCTTCCCGACCCGCAGGTTAGGGTCTACCTGCCCGATCTGCCCGTCTGATTCTGCCACGTGTTTTTTGCTCCTAGCCCCCCTCCTGCTACTTTCGTTTTTTGTTTATATTAGTTTTTATTTTATTTTATTTTTCCTATATACATATATATTCCTCTTCCTATATTTTTACAAGCCCGGGCGGCCGCAAAACCCCGCCCCCCCCCCCCCCAAACCGGACTCCTGGGATCCTGGGACTTTGGGACCCTCCGGACGCCCATTGAAGCGGTCCCGAGTGCCTCAAGAGCGCTCCAAGACAGGCACAAAGCGCTCCAAGACGCCAAAGATAGCCCCAAGACAGCCTCAGGAGCCCCCAAGACGCCCCAAGCGGCCCCAAAGAAGCCCCCCAAGACGGCCCCGGGAGGCCGAAATGGTCAATTTTCCAATGTGTTTTTCGATGTTTTCTGCTTTCTCGCCATTTTAGCTTTCCGACGCTCCAAGACAGAACTAGAGGCCCTCAAGAGCGCCCCAAGATGGCCCGGGGGGCCCCCAAAACGGCCCCAACACGGCCCCAAGACGGCTCTGGAGCGCCCCGAAACAGCCCAAGAGGCGCCCAAGAAGGCCCAAGAGGGCCCCGAGAAAGCTTCAAACGAGCCCCCACAGGGCGATCAAAAGTTCAAACATCTAACTTTCCGCCCCAAGTGGGCCCCAGGAGGCCCCAGGAGGGCCCCAAGAGGCCCCAAGAGGCTTCCAAAGGCCCCGAGGACTCCCAAAAAGAACCCACGAGGCCCCAAAATGGCTCTCCAAAAGGCAGCCAAAACGGCCCCCCAAGAGGCTTCAAAACTGCTGAATCGCCCCACTTGACCGCCACCTCCGGAACGGCTTCGCTGCGCTGCTCCGTTGTTTGCCAGACAGTGGCATCCCACGCAAAACACCAAAATGCTTGAAATCCCGGGTTCGCAACCAAATTCCCGGGAAATCGGCTGCGAACCCGGGATTCGGCACATTTCCCCGGAATTCGGTATATGTCCTTAGCATTTCCAGGACCCGGTACGTTGCCTGCATGCTTGCTGCCCTATGCCCTATCGCATCCCAGAATAATCGTTCCATGGAGGTTTCACGAGGGCAGCCGCAGCCCCCTGGTCTGTTTCCATATGTGATCGCAAGGCATCTCCGTTTGTCTCACCCCCATGCGCAAGTCGAGACAGCACGCCGCCCCAATGCGTGCCTTACCTTACCTTACCTCATGATATTCCTCCCTTCGCCGCGCCTCCCCAAATCGTCCTCCACTTCTTTCCCGCCCCTTCTGTCCGACGTTTTGTATTTCCGGAGCCTCCACGGCCGCTCTCATCGCCGCTGATCGGTCCGCTGGGACATTCTCATGGAGTCCCAATGGCGCGCGGACAAGCAAAGCGAGGGCGCGAGCAAATAAGGTGCAGGTCCGGGAACTGGGCGCGAACCAACCGCGGTTCCAAGACCGTGGAGGGCCGCGCTAGACGCCAACGCGCGCAAGGGTTGAAGGACCAAGGTGCATGGCGCGAAGCGCCAATGCAGTCTTGTATATATATATATATATTTCTCTCTCTCTCTCTCTCTGTCTTTCTCTCTCTCTCTCTCTCTTGCCCCATCCTCCTCTCCCCCTTGTTCCATTCTTCCATCCATCCCCTTTCCCCTGCCGTATGGGGCTGCATGCAATACACGTTGCAAAAACACGTTGCCCGTGGGAAAGGTAGACCCCCAAAGGGGCACGATCGAAGACGAAGAGGGCGGGTATCGAAGTGTTGGGATCTACGTGTTGACTGGCACGCACTCAAGTAAGAACCAACAGTCTTACAATGGTTGCTGGTGTTGTGGTTGAACCTTCACGACAGAATAATAATAAGTATTGTTGTTTCCCTCTCCAGTAGCATATATGTTTTTCCATTCAAATGCCATCCCCGGGGCTCGAAACCAGTTTTTATCAGAGAACGTCTTCCTCCTCAAGCTGCGTTGTTGCGCGCGCTCTCGCTGTGGAGTTCTTCACGATTGATTTGGGAGTAGAGTTATCGCTCGAAATTCCCTCGCGATTCACGCAGGACGCTCGCTTCAGCAACCCGCCTGGTCGACCTGGCCGCGTAGGCCTTCTTTCCCGACCCGCTTGCTAGAATCTACCCACCCGATCTGCCAGTCTGGTTCTGCCACGTGTTTTTTTCTGCTCCCAGCCCCCCGCCTCCTAGTCTCTCCCGTGCTCCATTATCCTCCCTCCCCCGTGTCCCTTCCTTCCGTCCGTTGTCTTCCCCTGCCTCAAGGGTTTCACGACATGCGCATTGCAAGTAAGAAAAATATGCCCCCCCAAGGGAGTGCGGACGACGACGAAGAGGGCGGGTATCGAGGGTTCGGGATACACATGTTGAGCAACACGCGATCAGATAAGAGCGAGCAATCTTAACATTACTAGTCGTATTATTCTTACGGCTATTCGTATTTTTTATGGTTAATACTAGTGTTATGAAAGGTGCTGTTGCTGGGTTCTCCTTTCTAAGGGGCTGCTATTGTTGAGCGAGGTCCGCACCCTGTTTTGCACAAGGGGGCGCATTTCTTTTCAGAATGCGTTGTTGGCACCCGAACTGCGAAAACAACGGCTCCCGCCTGATAGCTCCCCACAGTCCATTTCAGAATCGCGCTCTCGCGCGGGACTCCTTCACAATTATGTAGGACTAGCGCTCTCGCGTGGTACTTCCTCCAAATGTATTGCGGCGCCGCGCCCTCGACACTTCAGAATCACGCTCGCGCCCTGCACTTCCGAACGACTGCTTCAGCGACCCGCCCCCTCGACCCAGCCGTCTGGGCCCGCCCGCCCGCTCGCCCGACCCGCCCGTCTGGTTCTGCCGCTTTGTGTTCCTGCTCCTAGCCACCCTCCTGCAAATCTGTCCCATGCTCCATCCTTCTCCCTTCCCCCTTGTCTCGTTGATCCCCGCCAGTCCCTGTTTTAGCGGCTGCGCCAAGTGCACGTGACAGGTAAGGAAAATACACCCCCCCATGGGGGGGGGGCGACCGAAGACGAAGAGGGTGGGCATCGAGGCTTCGTGGTAGACGTGAATGACACGCGAGCATAGGAAAGAGAACATTGTTAAATGGCGGAGCTCTTATTCAAAGTGCCCCCCCCCTTCGGTGCACATCGTGTTTTTCAAATAACGTGCTCCTCCCAAGGCCCGCGCCTTCTTCTGTCCAAGAAAATCCTGGTCCTCAAACTATTCCCCTTTCCCCCGGGTTGCAACAACAACGACTCCCGCCTGATACTTCCAAGTACTGTATTTCAAATTCGCGTTCTCGCGCTGGACTTCCTCACCAGTTATGCAAGACTCGCGCTCTGGAGAGGTACTTCCTCTTAATGTATTGCGGCGCTGTGCCCCCAAGGCTCAAGAATCACGCTCTCGCTTTGGATGCCCTCAGGGTTTACATGGGAATCGCGCCATTGCTCGAGTCTTCCTTGCGGTTCACGTTGGATTGACGCTTCAACGACCCGCCCGCTGGACCTTGCCGCTTGGGCGCGCCCGCCCGACCTGCCCGTTAGGGTCCGCCCGTCCGACCCACCCGTCTGGTTCTTCTGCTTGCACTCCTGCTCCTAACCCTCTCCTGCAAGTCTGTCTCGTGCTCCATCCTTCTCCGTCCCCCCTTGTCTCTTCCCTCCTCCCTCCCCTCCCCTGTTTTAGCGGCTGCGCCAACTACTGGAGGCAGGTAGGGAAGATATATCCCAAAGGGGGTACGATCGAAGATGAAGAGGGCGTGTATCGAGGCTGTGGGATAAACGTGTTGAATGGCACGCACGCAGGTAAGAGCTAGCCGTATTACAATGACTGGTGGTGTTGATGGTGTTGCTGCTGCTGTTGTTGCTGTGGATGGTGGTGATGGTGATGGTGATGGTGATGGTGATGACGCGGCTGCTGATTATGAGTATGACTACGATGATAGCGGTGGCGATGATGCTGCTGATGATGACGATGACGATGGCGATGGCGATTATGTTGATGATGATGGTGATGATGCTGATGATGGTGATGATGATTGTGATCATGCTGATGATGACACTGATGATGCTGATGATGGTGGTGGTGATGATGACGATGATGATGCTGAAGAGGATTGTGCAGGAGGAGGGAAAAGAGGAGGATGATGAGGATGAGGAGGAAGAGGATGAGGATGAGGAGGAGGAGGAGGAGGAGGAGGAGGGGCAGGAGGAAGAGGAGGAGGAGACGGAATAACGATGAAGAGGGGGGGCGATACCGGGCCCTTATAGCACCCGAGAGTCCCCATAGATGCCCCCCCAGAATTCCGCAACACACCCCAGCGCCTCGGACAGCCACAGCCTCCCCCTCTCCCCCTTCTCCTGCCTCTCCCCTCCCTCCTGCTGCTGCTGCTCCTCCTCCCCTATCCCCCCCCCCCCTCGAAGAGGAGGAGGAGGAGGAGGAGGAGGAGGAGGAGGAGGACGAGCAGAAGCAGGAGCAGGAGCAGGAGCAGGAGCAGGAGCGGGAGGAGGAGTAGGGTGACCACAGCGGCAGGCGGCGACGACGGCGGCGGCGGCGACGACCCCAGCGCGACGGCGAGGATAGGCGACGGCGAGGACGGCGACTGGCCATTACTTGGATACTCCTTGTTTGTGTTTTGTTTGGCTTCGTGTGTGTGTGTGCGTGTTCAGTATACTTATTGATCTTGTTATTACTGTGATGCCCAAGGATGGTTCAGATGGTCTGGCGCTGGCCTCGCAAAGAACAATGCGCACTTCCGAGCGATGTCAAGGTGACGGCCCCATACATCCTCCGACATATTTTTTTCAAGCTGTTTTGCGCCCCAGGCCTGTTTTTGATGGTCCTGGGGGCAATTTTGCTCCCCAATTTTTCTGCGCCCCGAAAATGCCCCCACCCCGGGATCAGAATGAGGGGAAAAGGCGGCGGTTGAAGAAATCCCTGTTCCCAACCATCCTGTGGTGTTGGGTTCCTCGTTTTGAAAAGACAGCGCCCCGCGTTCCTCCTCCTCCTCTCCTCCTCCTTCCTTCTCCCACTCCTCCTCCCTCCTCCCATCCCTGCCTCTGCCCTCCGCATGCCAGTGTCGGTGCACCGCTCACACGTTTCGCGGCCCCGTAAGGGTGCTCCACCAAAGGCCACAACAACAAAGTTCGCATGCGGTTCCCCGCCCATTTTGGCATACCCCGCACACGTTTGTTGGCCCCACCTGGAGCCCCACCAAAGACCTCAGTGACAGGGTTCGCATGCGATTCCCCGCCCGTTTCGGCACACCCCTCACACGTTTCGTGTTCCCATAGGGAGCTCCACCGAAAGCCTCAGCGGCAGGGTTCGCATGCGGTTCCTTGCCCATTTCGGCACACAATCTCTCGCGCTTTGTGGCCTCATAGACAACTCCACTGAAGGCTCCAGTGGCAGGGTTCGCATGCGGTTCCCAACTCATGTCGGTACACGCCTCACACGTTTCGTGGCTCCATGGGAAGCTCCACCGAAGGCCTCAGTGGCAGGGTTCGCATGCGTTTCCCCGCCCTTTTCGGCAAGCCCTTCACACGTTTTGAGTTCCATAGGGAGCTCCACTCAAGGCGGTTCGCATGCGGTTCCTCGCCTATTTCGGCACACAACCTGACACGTTTAGTGGCCCCAAGGGAAGCTCTACCGAAGGCCCCAGTGACAGGGTTCGCATGCGGTTCCCCGCCAATTTCGGTGCAGCACCTCACACGTTTCGCGGCCCCACAGGGAGCTCCTCCGAAGGCCCCAGTGGCAGGGTTCGTATGCGTTTCCCCGCCCATTTCGGCACACAATCTCACACGTTTCGTGGCTCAATAGGGAGGTCCACCGAATGCCTCAGTGGCAGGTTCGCATGCGGCTCCCCGCCCAATTCGGCACACCTGTCACACGTTTCGTGGCCCCACGGGCCCCAGTGGCAGGGTTCGCATCCGGTTCCCAGTTCATTTCGGCACACCTCTCACGCGTTTCGTGGCCTACCAGGGAGCTCCACCGAAGGGCCTCATTGGCAGGGTTCGCATGCGGTTCCCCGCCCAGTTCGGCACACCCCTTAAACATTTCATGGCCCAACAGGGAGTCCCACCGAAAGCTGTGCTACAACGCGGTGCTCACAACTGCATATGGCTGTGCACTTCGCCCGAATATTTTTCAATACGGGGTCGCCAGAAGTCCCGAGCCTCTCCCCGAGACTGGCTTTGCATTCCGTGCCGACTTTTGAATCCTGGGGCCCCATGTTAGGACTCCTGGAGGCCGAACGCGACGGAACATCTCCGTACTGAATCTTCCAATGCGTTGGAGGTCTGGGATCATATCGCCAGAGGTCTGGAAGGCCAGCGACGAGGAGGACGACGAGGAGGAGGAGGAGCAGGAGGAGGAGGAGGAGGTGCAAGAGGAGTCCAGAGGAGGAGGAGGAGGAGGAGCTGGAGGAGGAGGAGGAGGAGGAGGAGGAGGAGGAGGAGGAGGTGCAAGAGGAGGAGGAGGAGGAGGAGGAGGAGGAGGAGGAGGAGGAGGAGGAAGTGCAAGAGGAGGAGGAGGAGGGCGAGGACGGCGACCAGGCCGGCGGCGCCTGACTCTTCGAGAGGCGCACCGCCCCGAGGTCGACGGCCTCGCGGAACGCGTGGCCCTCGGCGCCGCGGGGCGGGCACCAGACCACCCCGGAGGAGCCGTCGGACCTGTGGCCGAAGCTGTACTCCCTGGGCGGGTGGTAACAAAGCAAAAACGCTGGCCCAGGTTTTCGGGAGAAGGTTTCCTAGTCATATGCCCGACTGTATGTGTGCTTTCTGCAGGACCTTGCCATGAATACAACAGGGTCCCCGAGGGAAAGGGGCATTGGCATGACCGCGGGGGTCGCCAATGGGGACAGGGAGGCTGCACGCGGATACCAAGTCGGCCACATCTGGCCCAGCCTCGCTTGGAAGTGGGCTGCGTGTGCGACAAGTGGCCTAAGGGGGGTCAGCGACCCAGGCTGAGTGGGCTCCGCCAATTTTGCGGAATGATTCCCCCCTGGGCCACTTGGGGCATTTGGAACACACACGGAAGCCAGGTCGGGCCATATATAGCCACCTTGGCATCCGCTTAGAACGCCTTTCTCCTCTTGGCACCCCCCGCGGTCATACCAGGGATCAAGCCATCGAATACAGTTTGGGGAGACGTAAGACTCGGGTTCGGGGACTCGGATTGGCCCGAAGCCGTCAAGGAAATGACGAGACCCCATCTGAAGTTTGACGCGAACACCCGCTGCAACTACGGCATCTGAAACTGTCAACATCCAGGACGGGCCCGTCAAAAGCCTTCGGCAACCGTGCATTCCAGCGAACTCGAGTCTTACGTTTCTCCGACAAGGAGGCGCACACGGTAAGAAATCTTGCTACAATAATCCAAGGGCGCGTTTGTTGTAGAGCTTTGAACTTCCTGAGGTGTCCCATGGATTCTGCGCCCCTCCCAAGGCTATTTCAGGGAATCAGAAACTTCCGTGGGGCACCAGCTGGCCGACCTATGTTTTACTTGACATGTTCGCGACATCATCGAACATCCTCAAGCATGCTCGCGTCGTGACAAACATCACGACGGACAAGTTTTAGGAAGGGACTGCTGGGGGGTTTTCGTCAGAACTATCAGGGGCTGTACAGAAGGCCGCTGAGCTGGATTAGCCCAAACTTAACCCCGGATTCGACCGAATTTTCGAGATTCAACGGGACCGGAACAGATAGACCAGGACTATGCTGGATTAGGCCGGTTTTCCCACAGTGGATATGAAAGAACCGATGCTGAATCAGAGCTCCCAGGAACCGCACCCTAAACCGCGCCGTCATCGAACATCGAGGAGTCGGCTCCCCTGTGAACGCGCCGCAGACCTACACTTTCGGGGCTCCGCGCGGAGCTCCCGAACAGCATGTCTTCCGCGGGGCCACTTGCTCGACGCCGGCGCCATCCGGAGGGGCGACCACGGGGGGAACACGAGGGCCTGGGGCTCCTCTGGGGCCCCACATCTGGCCCAGATTCGCGCGCTCTCCCAAAACGCTGGCCGCAGCAGACCAGTGCACATGCAATCGACCGAAATTTCGGCCAGCGCTCTTCTGAATCGTCGAGCATCGGGAAGTCGGGGGCAGCCAGGGGATCAGAACTGGATGGGCATCGAGAAAACCGGTCGAGAAGGAGGGACAAGAACCAGTGCGCTCAGAATCGGTCCCCGGACCCTCCCGGGGTCCATCTGGTGTAGTTTTTCACTCCGGATCAGATTATAACGGTCCCGGGGCTCGAAAACGGCCCCCGAGGCCGCGAGAAGCAAAAACCTTGTCGAACCTAAAACCTAAGGGAGGAGCGATGACAGGAGCATGTGAGAATAAGGACGAAGCGACAACGATGATAAGAAGTGGGAGGAGGAGGTGGAGGAGGAGGAAGAGGAGGAGGAGGGAAAGGAGGACGAGGATAGTTATAGACGAATGCGACGAGAACATACGCGAAGAAAACGAAAAGGATAATGGGCCTCCCGTATACCTCGACACCCGCGTGGAAAGCGCCCGTGCCGATCTTGCAGAGGACGCCGTTCGCCCACTGCACTGGGGCCCCTCGGCCTCAGAGGCGTCTCCCCCCTACCACTCCTTTATGTACCCTCGGCCAACGAAGACGTCCATAATGGAAGATCCGAACGTACCTCCACCTTACGTACAACGTAACCCAATCCACCAATTAACCAATGACTCATCTTCCCTTTTTGGGCCGTGAACGGGACTCATCCCCTGCCAGCTAACGGTGCCTGTCAATGTCAGTAAGCCAAGACATCCTGGCGACATATGCCAAACACCACAACAATATACCAAAGGTCGCCCAACGTCGTCCGTGCCCGTGCCATGGTGTTCCGTCAGGCCTCCCTGCCACTCATGTGGCGTCGCTGTGCCTCCCGTCGACTCCGTGCACCACGGGTCGCCCAGCGTCGTTCGTGCCATGTTATTCCGTCAGGCTTCCATGTCACTCATGTGGCGCCGTTGTGCCCCCCAAACTTTCAGGGGAACATGCTCTGCCCACGCCACGGTCCCGTCAAGTTCCATATGTTTTTCGGCAGATCATGCCCCCGCAACCCAATACACCTGGGGCTCTGTGCTCATTCCCAGGCACCGTCTCCGTCGGGCTCCGCAGCACGGGGATGGGTCACGGTCCCCGCCATCTTCTGCAGGTCGGGTAGAAGCCAGTGGCGGGTCAAAAGATGAGCAGCGGAAACCATGGATGGTGCACTCTCCTGGCGGATGGCGGTGGTGACCACACGGACGGCCGCGGAAACAAAACCCGGGGTTCTTCTTCCGCTTCACATGCGCCGGCCTTGCCTGGTGGATGCCCACGGTAAATCGGCGGCTGGGCTGCGGCTGTTTTTCCGTTGTCGCCCTCCCCTGGCGGTCGGCGGCGGCAGGCTCGTGGAAAGCTGTGGAAGTCAAGCGCCCTGTCGTTTACGCGCTCCTCTCGGGCATCTCGCGGCCCCCAGGCTCGACGCCTCCTCCCGTGGTATCTTCCGCTGCTTGCCCACGCCTTCCCTTTGTGTTCCCCCTTCCGTTCCCTCCTCCCCTCCTCCTTCCCGTTGCCCTCCGCCCCCTTTCCCCTCGCCCTGTGTGGGGGCCGGAGATACAATGAAACGATCCTCTGGGGCTTCACAGGCGGAGGTAATGTGCTATCTTTACGTGCCCCTTTCAGGTATCCATCCCAGGACGCTGCTGTCAGACATCTACTTCAGCCTCCAGCCTTCTTACCCAACCCCGGTGAGGACCATCACAGGCCTCACCAGCGAGGATCATCATAGGCCTCACACCCTTCTCAACTGCCGCCACAGGGGCTGCTAGGGTCCCGCCCTCTTCCACCAATTCACTAGTACACTTCGCCGTCGATAGGCACTGGAGGGGGCCGAGGACTCCTCTATGGACCCTCGGCCAACGAAGAGGTCCATCCAAGAAGGTCCAAACGTACCTCCACCTTCTTTACACCGTAAACCAATACATCAGTCAACCAATTACCCACCTCCCTCCCTCCCACCCTCCCACCCTCCTTCCTCCTAACTCCTCACTCTTCCTCCTCCTCCTCCTCCTCCGTTCTGCTCACGCCTCCTCCTTATTCTACTCCTCCTCCATCCCTCTCCCTTAGACACGACTTGCCCCCTAGCCGCACCACCAGGCGTGACCGAAGCCTGGGCCAGGCGCTTCGCTTGAGAGTTCCTTGTGGTCTGCTATCCTGAAGCTGAGAAGCTCTAACAGTCACGCGGATGGAGGGATAGTAGAATCCCACCAGCCCTCTGGGCGTAGGTGGTTTAAGGCGTTTCCTCTTCCACCCCTCCCTCTTCCCCTTCGGGGAAGGGGTTACCGTTACTTCTTATGATTGAGCGCCCCCACATCCCCACCTCGCCGGCCGATAGCAACCCCGCCGTCTCAACGGTCCAAGAACGACACAAGCACAATTTTCCTCGCCAACATGTCGTCGAGTTGCGACAAGTGTAGCGGGAATGGGACGGAATGAACACCGCTTGGGAAGCCCTAAGCGGGTGGTCGCGTCCTACCCATCAAAAACAATACAATGTCAACGTTTTTCTCGTCAACGTGGACTGTTTTGTCGTCGACGCTGAGAACAGTGTAGCAGGAATGGGACGCGGCGCACATCGCGCGCGGACGCCTGGCGAACCCTACGCGGACCCCCCGTCCGACCTTTCAAAAAACATAGCAACGTCGACGTTGTTTTGGCCAACATGTACTTTCTCCTCGTCGGCGCTGCGAATCGCGTAGCGGGAATGGGACTCGGCGCGCGTCGCGCGGGGACGCCTGCTCGTCAACATTGATTTTCTTGTCGTCGACGCTGCGGCCCGTCGGGAAGAGGAGCTGGGCGGGCGGCAAGTCATAATGCCGCGACAATAAGGGCAAGCGGAACGAACGAAACGACTACATGAGGCAAAACGGAACATTTATCAATAATTCGTTGTTGCCTTTTCTGGCATCGTCGTTGTGAGGATGTTATTCGCTATCGTTCCCTCATGCTTCCTCGTCCTCCTCGTTCTCGCCCGACCCTGCGAGTTCGTCCCCATCCATAGCTTGTCACAACCATCCTGTGATGTTGGGTCATCGTTTTGAAGGGACAGCGCGCGGCGTTCCGCACCTCACCTCACCTCGCCTCCCGCGCTCCACCCTCCTCCCCCTCCTTGCGTCTGCCCTCCGCATGTTTGTTATTTCTTTTTTCCTTCCTCCCAACCATCCCGCGGTGCTGGGTCCTCGTTTTGAAGAGACAGTGCCCCGCGTCACTCAGTCATTCCTCCTCGCCCTCCCCCCTCCGCCGCCCGCGTGCGTCACCCACGCCCATTTCGGCACGCCCCTCACGCGTTTCGTGGCCCCATAGGGAGCTCCACCGAAAGCCGCAGTTCCACCGCCCGCATGCGTCACCCACACCCATGTCGGTACACCCCTCACACGTTTCGCGGCCCCATAGGGAGCTCCAAAGGCCCCAGCGGCAGGGTTCGCATGCGCCCCCCCGCCCATGTCGGCACACCCCTCACATGTTTCGTGGCCCCATAGGGAGCTCCACCAAAACGCCCCAGTGGCAGGGTTCGCATGCTGCCCGCCGCCCATGTCGGCACACCCCTCGCACGCTTCGTGGCCCCATAGGGAACTCCACCGAAGACCCCACTGGCAGGGTTCGCATGCGTCCTTCCGCCCATTTCGGCATCCCTCGCACGCTTCGTGGTCCCATAGGGAGCTCCACCGAAGGCGCCAGTGACAGGGTTCGCATGCGCCCACCCCCATGTCGGCACACCCCTCACTGGCCCCATAGGGAGCTCCACCGGAGGCCCCAGCCCATCATGCGCTTCGTAGCCCCGGAAGGAGTTCCACCGAAGGCCCCAGCGGCAGGGTTCGCATGCGCCCCCCCGCCCATTTCAGCGCGCCCCTCGCGCGTTTCGCGGCCTCCATGCGCGCTGCCCCGCGCCGCCTGCCGCCTTCATCATGACATGCGTAGTTCCCCTCCTCCGTCTCATCCTCCTCGTGGTACTCGCAGCTGCATGTGGTTGGGCCCCTCGTCAGGCCATTTTTCTATGCGGTGGCTCATCTTCCAAGTCCCCCGGAGGAAGGTGTTTTAAGTCTTGTTGGGGCCGTCTGGAACCCCCCTGGATTCCCCCTGGGGGCCTCTAAGGGCTTCCTCGGGCCACCTTGCCTCCAACGGCGGTCTCCCTGAACGACCGGGTCACGATTTGGAATGAGTCGGGAGGAGTCTTTGGGCCATCTTGGGCCGTCGTGGGGCTCTCCTCGGGTTATCTCGGGGCCTGTTGGGCCCTCTTGGGGCTCCTCTTGGACTGCCTGGAAGCCTTCTTGGTTTAATTTGGGGCGATGCTCTGGCTTCCTGGGCGGTCTCGGACGCCCGAGAGACCGAAAAACTGAGCACTCCCCAAGTCATGAAACAAAAGCACAGGACATCCATGTTTTTTTTTGCGTTTCGAATGTCTCTTGGGGGTCTTGTTTGAGTCGTCTTCGGGAGTCCGAATGGCTGTCTGGGGCCTCTGTGGGCTCTTGTGGGGCCGCCTGGCCGCCCTCTCGACCGATTTGGGTCCGCTGCCTAAGCCCCACAGAAGCTTCAAGAGCACCAGGAACCGCGTGGGGACTGTCTGCAAGGGCCTCCAGGGTGCCCCCGGGGCCAAGGCTTCGGACGGGGTCCTATTTAGGGGGCGGGGGGGGGGCGCAGGGTCCCACATTATAGAAATATTCCGAAAAGGGATCTTCCAAAACAGTCACTCACTCATTCACATCATTCGTTCTGGCAGTTCATGTTCTCACAACTTGCCTCCAATCGATTGAAACTATGGCGCATCAAACTCGGTGCGATGTCGCTGCGTTCAAGCGGTGCCGAAACAACTGCCCATGCGGTGGTCTCGCAGCCGACGGACACAATCAGGTCGAGTGCCCACAACCTCCGATGAATAGAAAGGTCGATGGGGATACAACGGCAGAAGGCGATCACTTATGGGCTCGATCCCTGTACCGCACTCTGGCCTCTTGGGAACACATTTCGACAAGCAAAATAAATCGTGCACGGCCTGAGGGCGGATGGGGTGAATCGGGAAGCGTGCCTAGGACTCCCGCGGCTGCCGACAAGCATGTGTGGATCCAGCCCGTCGTACTCGAAGGTGTGGTCGCTACTGACGAGGCCGCTGAAAAGCCGACTCCGATCATTGAAGAAACTGCCCCGCTCACTCGTGATGTTCCCTTTCCATGTGGGTCGCAGGCGCCTTCCCGAACGTCTGCTTCGCGCTGGTGGTCCGCACGGCTTGGGTCAGGTCCTGCACGTGGGGTCTCAGAGTGAGAGGCCAACCTTTTCTTCTCGCGCTCGTACTTGCGGCCGGCCTTTTTGCAGAAACGAGCTCTATTTCTGGTCTACAGAAGATGGCCTGTGTGTCGGTCTTGCGGTTCCGTGCCGGCCATCGCCGCCCCGTCGCCGCCTCGTCGCCGCCCGTCGCCTGGGCTTGTGTGTCGGTCTGGCGGCTCCGTGCTGGCCGTCGCCGCCCCGTCGCCGCCTCGTCGCCGCCCGTCGCCGTTGCTTCGCCGTCGTCGTCGCGTTACGC